CAGCAATTGCCGCCGCCGTGCCAGCGCCACGCAGGACGGAGCGGAAGGTGGTCATCGCCGTAGATTACAGCAAAGAAGCGGTTATGGCCTTTGACTGGTCTATGTCAAATCTGTGCCGACCAGAGGACAAAGCGATAGTTATGCACGTCCAACCGAACGCCTTCTTGGGGATGGATTTCCCAAACCTGAGCGACGGGATGGACTTCGGTCTGGACATGTTCGTAATGGAGGAGCTTCGTCAAGGGTACACGAGGCAGGAGAAGGAGGGGCTCTCCCTTATCAATCGCTTTCTAGAGGCGGCCGCGGAGGCCAAGATTCCCTGCCAGGGGGAGATAGTACGTGGGGACCCGCGCGATGCCATCTGTCGACACGTGGAGAAGGACGGAGCCGACATCTTGGTCCTTGGCTGTCGAGGCCTCGGAGGCGTTAAGAGGGCCTTCCTCGGGAGTGTAAGCGACCACTGCGCTCACCATTGCCCCTGCCCCGTCGTCGTCGTCAAAGACCCCCACGTGCCTCAAGGGGAGGCCAATCCCATGGAGACCGACTACGAGAGGAGGATCATCGTGGCCGTCGATCAGTCGTACGATGCGGCCATAGCTTTCACTTGGGCGGTGGACAATTTCTTTCGATGTACGGACACGGTGACCGTCTTGCACGTCTTGCCTCGTCTTCTTCCTGCTTACACCATCGACGTATCGGGCACGGCGCTGGGAATGATGCCAGTGAGTGTGTCGGAGGCGGCCATGGCCAGGCTGTCGAAGAACGCCGCGGAGGCGGGGGAGGAACTGCTAAGGAAATTCGCGGAGCAAGCTAAGGAGGCCAACCTCAACTGCACCACCCGACTTATCCCTGGAGACCCCCGAGAGGTCATCATAGATGAGTGTGAGCGGTTATGTGCCACGTCGCTGGTCATTGGCAGCAGAGGACTCGGACCAATCAAACGTGCGATCCTCGGGAGTGTGAGCGACCACTGCGCTCACAACGCGCCCTGTCCTGTGATCATAGTCAAACCGCTTTCGTCAAAGAAGATCGTGTGAATATGAAGAAAAAAAAACGAAAGGAAAAAGAAAAAGGTTATGATGGATAAGGTGGGTAGATACGTAATACATGTGTGTTTCGAATGCGGAGTACGTGCATAGAAAAACGATGGCCCTTTGGCGGCTGGCTGCGGAGCAAAATAATATCTTTCCCCCTTTCTTCCAACAGTTGCGCGGGAGAGAGAGAGAGAGAGAGAGAGAGAGAGAGAGAGAGAGAGACAGAGACAGACAGACAGAGAGAGAGACAGGGAGAGACAGACAGAGACAGAGAGAGCAGATAGACAAACGGAATGGGTGAGAGAGAGAGCAGATAGACAAATAGACAGGGTGTGTGTGTGTGTGTGTGTGTGTGTGAGAGAGAGAGAGAGAGAGAGACAGAGAGAGACAGAGAGAGCAGATAGACAAACAGAATGGGTGAGAGAGAGAGAGCAGATAGTCAAACAGACAGGGTGTGTGTGTGTGTGAGAGAGAGAGAGGGAGAGAGAGAGAGAGAAAGAGAGAGAATCGTGGTTTACATGGCAAGTGCATGTTGCGATGCGGTCTTGTCGTCGACCTATCACTGCTGAGCTCCTCCCTTCATTGGAGAGGATGGGAGAGAGAGAGAGAGAGAGAGAGAGAGTACTCCTTTATATGCATTCCATAGCAAATAGCCGCCGTCCGTTTCTTGTTAACAACTTCTCTTCTTCTCCCAAATCAGCTTTAGTGTCTTGCCGCCGCCTTACTCACAATCTGTGTTGTGAATCGGGAATGAATCTTCACGCAGATAGTGGAAAGATGCACTCGCCATGTTTTTTTGGTCTAACTTGATAACCGCATGTATGTTCACTAAGAAGTTGGAAAGATACACTAGCCATGTTTTTTGTCTAGTTCACATTGCGTGTCTCTTAACGTAGAAGTTGGAAAGGTACACTCGCCATGGTTTTTGTCTAGTTCACGCCTGCGTGTATCTTCACCTAGAAGGTGGAAAGATACACTCACCGGTTTTTGTCTAGTTCACATTGCGTCTATCTTGACGTAGAAGGTGGAAAGATACACTGGCCATGGTTTTTGTCTCATTCAGATTCGCGTGTATCTTCACCATGTTTTTTTCTGTTTTTCACATTTGCCCAGTGGTGGGGTGAGCGCCATAGTCGGAGAATCGGTTTTTTTTTTTTTTTTTTTTTTTTTKGTCCAATTTTTTTGGWAAATTKYTKTGBGTTTTTTTTTTTTTTTCCCTTGCAGCCAGCTTYTTTGTCAAAAAAAAATTAAAAAAAAAAAAAAGCGTGGTTTTCTTTTCCGGAGAATATCTCCAAAAAAACAAAACGGGATAATTTGCGAAATACCCCCATAAGTTAGATATTTGCCAAAATGCCCCTGAAAGGGGTGGGTCTAGCGGAAATGCCCTTTTGGGCTTAAATGTTGGTTTTGTGCCCCCGTCATGCGGGTGTGCAACTTCGCAATCAGGACCTCCTCCCTGATTGGGCCTAGACCTTTTTTATTTTTCTTTCTTTCTTTTTTGCAGTAGCGCCTAGGAAAAGTTGGCAAGTACTGGGGCATTTTGCGAAGTTGTACGGTACACGGTAGGGGCATATTGGAAAGATGGGGGTCCAACCGACGCTAGGGGTATTTCATAAAAAAAAAAAAAGTCAGGGGCATTCCGCTCTACCCACATCTTTTAGGGGGCTTGTTTTTTCTTTTCTTTTTTCTCTTTTAAACTCTTGCTATATTCTTCTCTCAAATCTTTCATCCTCTTTCAAATTCTTTCCAGTCACCTTCACTACCTACCTACCTACCTACCAACCTACCACTCCTCCTCAGGCTTATACAGAGGACCCCCCGCAAACATAGCTTTGTTGTCTCCCTCCAGCCCCCAATCAGAAGCGATGCATGTTGTTCAACGCCCCCCAAACCCMCCCCCGCCCCCCCCCCGGCGCCAACCATGGTCGTCAAGGATGGGGTGTGTCCGCCGGTGAGGGGTTCTGGCTAACGCAAAGACCGAGCATTTTGCAAGTAGCTGCGCCTCCCTTTAAATTTAATCGTCCTCCAACCCCAACCGAATAACAGCAGTGTGTCCTTCGGCGGGACGTCTGTTAAAATTGGAACGATACAGAGAAGATTAGCATGGCAAAAAAAAAAAAAAAAAGAATAACAGCAGTGCAGTGTCTAAGGCCAACACCCTCCCACACTCCCACACACCACACACTCACACTCACACTCACACACCCCTGTTGGCCAAGGACCCTGCTAACACCTATCAGAGGGGTATCAAGCGGAGTATAACCCCTGGTTGGCACGAAGTGCGCCGCAGGCGGTTGTGGGGCATTTTGGCATATATCTCTTTTTTCTTCTCTTTTTTAAATAATCTTGGCATATATCTCAACTTGTGTGGAGTATTTTGCAAATTATCCCCCCCCCCAAAAAAAAATAAGCCAAAAAAAAAAAGTAGTGGTCTTGAGAGCATGGAGAACAACGAAAAAGAAAAGAAAAGAAAAGGTTTAGCTGGGCGAGTTTGAAAAAAAAAAAAAAGTCCTTCGGGACATCCGTTAAAATTGGAACGAGAATACCTTTCTTGGCCTTTTGGCTAAGTAAGATCAAGTGTAGTCTCTGTTCTGGTCAGTTTAGTATCTGATCCGTGGTCCATCGGACCACATTAAAAAAAAAATAATAATAATAATAAAAATAAAAAAATGGAACGATACAGAAAGTAGATTAGCATGGCCCCTGCGCTTTCAAGGATGACACGCATAAATCGAGAAATGGTCCAAATTAAAAAAAAAAAAGAAGAAAAAAAAAGAAGGAAAAAAAAGGACAGCATGGACAACGACGGAGATTGCTTTTCGCGGGGACCGCTCGAGGGTAAATGGGCTGTGCCCCATGTTGGACATCGCTCCACTACATACCGCTACAAGCATTTGGACGCTATGTGGCCCCGATACATTCAGATTGTTAGACTCGTCTTAATGCACCTGGTCGAAAAAGGGTCCAAATTCATGTACAGTCTTTGTGATGAAACGAGGGCTCTTTTTCGTGGATCATCTGCATGGACGAATAACGACCGACTGCTGGCGGCGCATCAGGAGCAAATAAACGGAATGAAACGGAAAGAAACGGGAGTTTTTTTTTTTTTCCGTTTCTTTTTTTTTGGGAACGGTAGAGTTCATGTGCGAGCATGCTCATTTATAATGAAAACAAAATCAAAACAATAATAATTGCAGACGCTCAGCACACAAGACTGCTCACGTCAATCAGGGCCCTCCGTTCCGCTCTCCTCTCCCCTCAACCCCCTCGCCCCTCCCCCCTCCCCCGTTTCCCCTCCCCTTGGCCCCCTCCCCCTCCCCCTCCTACGACAACTGTTTTTTTTTTTTTTTTTTTTAACAAAACCGAACGTTATAGTACAATTCAAAAATTCGGACGTCTTGATATACATCTACAAATTAAAAACGGGAGAGGAAAAAAACGAACCATCAACAATTATTAATCTAGCAGCAGCAGCCACGTGTGAGGCGGCCGGCAGTAAAACGCGCCCACCACCGGTGGAGGCATTTACCGCTGCAGCAGGGCCGTGGTCCCATTAACGATTATTAATCTGGACGTGTTCGAGGACAGCAGGAAATCGAGATAGAACTGCTTTTCTGTATCTCTGCGTTAAACATTAGCCAGATTCAGGATTTCTATCCTATCCCCTTCGCTAGTGGGACCACGTCCCAGGGTGCCAGCAATCTCACCATCCAGATATTGCACATCGATGACGTGTGGCCAATCCCAGGGCACAAATTACAAATTACAAAAACTCCAAATTACAAAAATTCGAAATTCCGACGACTTTTACGGACACGTCCTCAAAAATAGAAATACATCCCCCACGTCCCGCCGCCGCCCCCYCTCCCTCCCCCCCACTACAAAATTAAAAACGGTTTCCAAATCGAAGCCACGTGTCAGGCGAACAGGAAACACTGGCGTCGTAATGCGCATCGCTCTATGGCACGTGCCGCTGCCACGTGTCAGGTTGCAGTATATTGTTGACGTCATCAATCCAACTTCTATACCTACGACCGAAGGATCGCCTTCTGTTGAAACGGAACGAAGCCTGGAAACACCGATGCGACCGTAAAAGCGACCAGATACATTCCGTTACCGTGCGGTCCCACATGTAACACAGGACGCGCGCCGGGCACGGAACTCGCGGCCGTTAGAAGCCCGGCGAAAATACGGTCAGGTGCGTCCTCAGTGGCATGAATACGACCGCAATTGCGGCCAGGTGGGCCTCCGACGAAACGACCGCAACTACGCACACGAGGACTTTTTCAACTCCTCTGTGGACGTGATTACGTCCAGGTGCGACCATTCAAGCGGTCAGATACATCCATGAAACTCCTCGCGTGAGTTCGACCTCAAGATCTCATCACCGTGCAGCGCCGCCCACGCTCACGGTAGGGAGCCCCCAGACCCCACACACACCTTAATCGTCGCCTGACCGCTTGAACAGTCCAGGGCTTCACAGGTCGCGCTGACCAAATGGCGACAAATGGCGACAAACGGCGACAAAGGGCGCGGCAAACGGAGACAAACGGCGCCGAACGGCGACAAGGGGACAAACGGAGGCTAACGTGACAAACGGCCAAAAACGGCGACGAACGGCGACGAACGGAGAGGAACGGCGACCCATACATACGGTTGCGCGGCACTTCTGTGTATGGATGTCCTGATCCCAGATCGTGACCAGGTACACAGTAGCGCAAGCTCCAGTGTCATCTGATGAGATCGCAAGCGAGCGACACGACCGTAGTACGGATGATCTAATCCCGGTCCCGGTCTGCTGCCACGTAACCTCAGCCAAGTGTCCCGCTCTGGCACAGACGACTGCGACTGCCATGATCTGAGATCCCGATCTTATCGTCGCCCCGTCCAGGTCGACAAAAGAATTGCCACTCTCCCAAAGAGAACGCCAAAGTCGAGAGAATGACACGTCAGCACCAGCCACTGTCTCTCTGCACTCTGAGGAGGGAGCAGTATGGAGGAGGAGGAGGAGGAGAGTGTTGCTCTGCGTTCTCAGTAGGGAGGAGTGAGGAGAAAAAGGAGAGGAAGAGGAAGAAATGCATGTACAAAGAGACGCAAGGGAAATACCTGTCACTTCAGAAGAAAATCACTTCCAGACAAGGCCCAAAAAAAAAAAAAAAAAAACACCACTTGCAGACACATCAACCGACAAAATCAAAATAATTCACTTGCAGACACATGAACCAAAAACGAACAGCTCAGATTTATTCTATTAGACTTGGGAGCTTGCAATCTTGAGAGAGAGAGAGAGAGAGAAAAGCGTTGAGGTATCTAACATGTGTAGATAGATAGTTACACACACACACACACACACAGAGAGAGAGAGAAAGAGAGAGAGAGAGAGAGCTGAAGCTGGTGCTGGTTCTGCTGCAAACGTTCCACGTTCTGCCACGTCGTAGGTAGGTAATCAGGGCTGTCGTTTCTCTCTCGTTCTCTCATGGATCCATAACCGAACATGCTCAAGAAACGTCCGATTCTTCGGTCTATCTTTTCTGACGATGTAATGACGAGCCTGAGCTTCTGTAAACGCCTCAATGAACTGCGTAGCGGAGGCTTTTGCCAGCCCTTGCGTTATGCTATTGTGTGCGAAATAGGCTTCTGCAAGTACTTCCCCCCCTCCCTCTCCCTCTCCCTCTCCCTTACGATACCAATCATCGTCAGCGGGAGATGAGACAAAGTCTCGATCGAATACTACATCAGTCAAGACGAGCGGCTTGCGCACGTAATGCCCGACGGTGGTCCCCTCCTTCTCGTCGAGTATCTCCTGCGCTTTAGCATCCACCTTGTACAACTCTCCCTTCACACACCAACCGTTCGATGGCATATCGAGAAGAAACGGGACGGCAAACGGTCCACATACAAGTGGATAAGGTTGCTTCGTACGGGCAGATCCGATGTATTCCACGTGGCCGTCTTTCAGGAGATCTTGCATCAACCAGTAATTACCGAACCCCTTCTTCAGCGTGCCGTAGACGAAAGCGATACCGCAGGGATTCTTAATGACCACCTTCTTGTGAGATTTAGATTGGGTAGGCGAAGAAGAGGATGAGAGATGATAAGAAGATTGATGATGATGACGTTCCGTCTCCTCTGCCGCGGGCAAGAAGTCGACGACATCAACGCCGGAGGCATCACCGCTGCCGCGCGCATCGGACGGCGAGAGATGCTCCACCTTCACACGAGTCGCGTTGCCAGACAACGAAGCGTTTTCCCTCATCTCCTTCTCTGACCATAATCTCCCCTCGCAAGCTCGCGTCGAAACCACCACCGCACTCGCCATTTCTCTCTCTCTCTCTCTCCTGGTACCTGGGGATGAAATGTCGGTAGGTGCTCGACTGCAACAGCAAAAGCAGACCAAACACAGATCGGTCACAGGCACATCAAAGACTGTTAGAAACCAGAAT